GGCAAGAGAGTGGTAAAAAATGTGCTATGATTATTACTGTGAAAAACTGGAGAGTAATGTACCCTAGAAGAAGCCTAACTGCAAGACAACTCATCATGCCATCGGTGTAAGTAGCAAGGCCCTCTGTAGTCATAGGTTCCAGCTTAGCACCCAGTACCAGTTAGAAATACCTAAAATGGCAATGTATGGCATGTATCCTAGAACATTCATATAGGGACAAAAGGAGTTTGGGCATTGGGACCAGGAACATTGCAGATTGAGCAAAAGATAGCTGGGACGCTATAAGAAAGTGCCCATAAGGACATAAGAAAATGAAAGACCAGATGTGTTGTTCATTGTGGATATGGCTAATCAGACAAGCAAGGACGAGGAAACATTGCAACGTCATGAGGGTTATTTATAAAGACCATTTCTGGGGCAATGAATATATATTGGGACATTAGGCAAATCAACCCTTTTTGGGGTATAGAACCCCCAGACTTGCTTCATCTGCTCTAATGGCATTTCAGACATCACCCATTTGTTGTCCATTGGGCCATCAAATTTAGGCTGCCGTAAAATACTGGCCTTATATTATGGTTTTCTAAGACTGTCAGTGGGCAACAGTATCAATGGGTCGACTTGAACCCTTTTTAAAGTGGTTGATGTTTCCCAAATACATGTCTCTATAGCTTTATGGTATTGAAAAGGGCATGGTATTTCATTGTGTCAGTATGTGGGATTAAGTGGACAGAGCCCACCAAGTAAGATGGCACAAGTCAAATTCCAGAGGTAAAGTCTAGCTCTTAAAACTTCACAAGCCACCAAATCCAAGATGTTTTAATTGTTGGGCAAAATTATTATATTAAGAACCTCTGTCTCAAAAAAAATAATTCAGTTTTTAACAATAATATTATATAAATAATGATGTCTTGTTATATTTACTAACTTTACACTTTGTCACCAACTCCTCATCCCAACAAAATTCAAAGAGGACAAAAATGTAGCATCAATACACGTCTCTTTTAAACAAGGCCAATATAATATTTTGAAACTTTAGGGTCAGGGAGTGTTGGGTTATTTAAGGCTGATCGGATGAACTAAGTGGAATGGCTGTCCTCTGCCTAACTCATTTCCATCACCTGTTCATCGGCATTTCTCCCAGTAATGGTATAACATTTCTTTTTTTCTGTGCCGCTTCCCTGGAGCGCAGGTGATTGAGCAGCGTGGTGTTTCATCCCTGTTGCAAAATGGTTTGTTCGTTAAGACACAGAGATCAATTGATCTATACAAAGGGAAACTAAGCAGAGACCAGTTAATTGGCAGACCTCAGACTCCTGACTTATTACTTGTTAGCAGAATCAATCCCTTGGCTTTGTGTGGAAGGTATTTTATATTTTAGCAGCTGACTCAGTCACAATTTCTTTATGATTACAGCCCATGAACATGAATATTATTGTCACCACTTGTAACAGGCAGTTTTTACAGTACGGGACGTTCTGCCCTGGAAGAGTCCTTATTCCCAGATCAAGGCATGAAAAACATTACATGTATAATTAGTACCATGTGCAGCCACTAAAACAAGTGCATACACATTATCTAACAGCAGATTGATCCCTCTCTTTTGTCTCAGGACTAATTGGAAGCTGCTGTTTAAGATCTGTCTTGATAGAGGGTATCTAACCACACTGCTTTCAGGGACAGCAATGTCTCCTAGCTTGTGGGAGACAACTGCTGTATGGCATTTTGGGAAAAAAACTGCCTGCCAATGACAGTGATGTTTTCTGAGATAGAAATACTTAAAATGTTGACCAATCAAAGCATTGCATTCTGGGATATAAGTAACTGTTGTGTTGACCCATGACCTCACTGCATTCTGGATTAAAATAGATTGGTGTGACGTTAAATTGCCGATATTGCATTCTGGGACGGACGTAATTGGTGCAACACATCATGATCACACAGCTTGTGATGATCAAAGGCTGCATTGCATTTTGGTATAGAAGTGGTTAAAGGTCAGCTGCAAGCACGATAACCACTATAGCCGGAGTATGGCTATGGTGCCAGAAGTTCCTTGCCCCTCCCCCCATGGTAAGTGGTCAAACCATTTTACCTGAGGTCCACCAGGCACAACCCCCCCACCTGCTCTAATGTCAGAGAGCCTATGCAGGAACTTCCCTTAAAGGGACACTGTAGTCACTATAACCACTTTGTCTCTTTGAATTCGTTATAGTGCCTGGAGTGCCCTGGCACTGTCCCTCCATTCAGTGTTGCACCATGTTTGTGCAGTATGCCACAAAATAAGAGTCCCTGGCCACACACAGTCCGGCCCCTTCTGTATGTGTAGCTAAGGCAGAGAATACACACTTCCTTGTTGTCATACCCATTCATACCGTCAGTTGGAGCTCTGATAGGCTAAAAGCAGTCAGCTGACACTCTCAGCCAATCACAGCTGCCCATTGCTGCTCAGGGTAATACTTCCTTATTAGCCAAAGCAGCACAGAGGGGATGGACTGCCGTGGTCTCTTGTTTAACATTAAAACATTACAACATTAAAAACTGTTTAATGCTGAAAGAAATGATGGCACCAGGGGACTCCATACACTATAACCAGTTTAATGAGATGAAGCAGATACAGTGCCTACGGTGTCCATTTAATTCTCCTGAGCAAAACACTTAGCACATTGGCTGAGAGTGATCAACTTTGAGCAATCCGCTTTTAGCTCTCCTTCTTAAGTAGTGTAGGTGGTGAGTAGCTCTCCGAGGACTCCAGTTAAGAAGTCAAACCATTACACAATGATTTCACTACTTACAAGGGGGAGGCACCAGGGAGCTTTAAAGTGATGCTCAATGAATGTGTTGCATTCTGGGCAATAATAAGACTCAATCAACAACCAATGCGTTCTATATTGGGATTGAATGATTGGAGACAAAAATACATTCTGTAGTAGGAATGATCAGTGGGACAATGACTGCTTTGCATTCTGCAATATGACAGATTGTTGAGAAACTAGATAAACACTGCATTCTGTGATTTGGATGATTGGTGGAGACCAAATGATCAGACTGCATTCTGAATTATGAGCTATGGAGAATGCTACATGGGGCAATTGGAGAGCACCTCTGTCCAGTTTTTGTAGCAATTAACTACAATTTTTTTATTTTTTTTAAATAAATTAAGTCTACTTGTGTGGCAAAGACTACAGTTTCCTTCTGTACACCTTTACAGATGGCTGGAGATATTGCACAGAGGCTGTGTTGTGGGTGCAGACCTAGCAGGATTTCTGACATCACTGAATTTGCATAAGTTTTATAACTTGCAGATTCGAAACACCCTAAAAGACAAGCCTTCATGTTGCCCTGTCCCCTAGGACTGTTATTGGGCGACAACATCAACAGGTGTAGTAAAATTCCAGGAGTAGCATCCAACCTTTCTTTAAAACAGATCTGACACTTTTGGGAGTCAATGCATATTTTAAAAAAAACCCTGAAAGTGACAGATTCGGTGTGGGTCCAGTAGCCACAGGATGCAGTTAAGGTGGGTTTTACTTACCTCAAACTATCCCTCACAATCTTACTCCCCATGGTCCTCTTTAGCTCCTGATGCCTTATTTGCTAGGAGGCACAAGAGTACAACACTAAGGCATCGTCCAAGACCATCCATAGGCAATGAGTGAAATCCAGAGCTGCTGAAATTTGATGGCTGCTGAAATTTGACAATTGTTAACAGGGGAACGCTGCTTTTTGTCAACTTTTGTCTCAGACTTGTCCATAAGACAAAGTAGTCCCTCCTTTTCTTATGGTATCTTTAAATTCCAACACAGTCTTGATCAGAATTCAGAAAGAAATACTAAAAACAAAGACAAAGACAGATCCGGTATAAACTTTACCAAACAGCCAGTAAATTGGAGTAATTGTGCTCCAAAAAAATTGCTAAATTGCATTCTGTGATCAGGGTAATAGGTGTAGTCATGATGACTTGCTCTGCATTCTGGGACAGAAGTAATTGCTGGGATACGCGATAATTACACTGTAATCTGTGCTAAAATTGAACAGAAATTATAAGTGAGAGTGCCTCTGTATGAACAAGTATCATATAATTATGCAATCTCTGTCAGTTCAAGTGGACCTCTATTGGTAAAGGACACTGGGACCCGTAGCTCAATCACATTTCGCCTGTACTATTGACACATTAATTCCACCACCTGGAACGGAACTAGAAGTAGTTTGTGAAGGCTAAATAATCCCGTTGAAATGGCCCATTTGTACACACAAAATAACTACAAAACCTTGTTACAAAATCATAAGAAGCTCACAGTGTTACATCTCTGTCATATCTAGCACTGAGATAAACTTTAAATCTAATCTGTGCCCTTCTCTGTGGGGATAGAAAAAAAAGCCAGGCAAACAGATTTACTTCTCTCATTTTGCACAGTGCGAAAGCCCTATCTTTTACTGTTACAGAAACCTTTATATAAAGGCTGTGAAACTCATATTGTGCTTAAACAATAAAAAATTATATTACAACACTGTGCCTCAGAACTTGGGTTTTATGTACACGGACAAACGCATTCGGCAACTGCCCTATCAGCTCATCGTATATCCTAGAGAGCCGTCAAATAAAAAAAATTTAATCCTAGAAGCAAATGTGTCTTGGATTTTGCAAAACACAAGCAGATTGGGAATGTTATAAAACAAAGCAATGTTTGGAGATAAAAGAAAGAGATATTAAAACCAACTAGCGCTTTGTTGTTGTTCTTTTTGCAAGACACTCAGCAACATGGCAGATGAGATCGAATTCACCAGTGAAGATGCTGGAGATACCCCCACTGGCCAGTGCTCTGCTCTACGCAAAGGCGATATGTGGTTCTAAAAGGATGTCTTTGTGAAATTGTTGAAATGACTAATTCTAAGAGCGTCAAACGTGGTCATACAAAGGTTCACCTTGTTGTTATTGATATTTTCAGCGGTAAGATGTAGATATATGTTCATCTACCCACAACATGGATATTCCAAATATTAAGTGATTATCAACTGATTGGGATCAATGACAAATACCTCTCCCTTCTGACTGACAGTGGTGATGTTAAGGATGATCTTGGAAAAGAAAAAGAAACTAGATTTGAAGGAAGAGAAGAGATTAAGATCCACGTCTTGTGTGCAATGAATGAGGAGTAAGCCATTGCCATCAGTTCCATGACCAAATAAAAAGATAATCCCAGGCTCTAGCAAAGTGCTCACGTCAAATTAAACCGATATAAAATTTGGTTCTGATTGTAACCAAATCACATAGCCTTTTCAAAATCTCATTATTATTATTATTATTTTTTCAATTGATTTCAGATGTTTGCTCGAAGAGGAAATAGGCTATGCGGGTTAGCTGGATATTTTCCAAATCACCGCAGTTAAATTCAGTTTGACTGCATTAGGTGTTGATATCCTTTGCAGGTGTTCATTTTGAAGGTCCATCTAAACTGACAACATTAGTTTTGTTGCATCAAAGTTTGTTCCAGATGCATGGCTTAAATCAAGTGTTTATGAAAAAAATTGATTACATACACATAGGATAAAAGGAAACTTAACTGGACGGTGTGATTCTAAAATACGCTTAGTATATCTTAGAATAAAATGAGATCTAGAACTCTTTAACCTAAACAGGTTTTAAGCCTTGTGCATGTTATATGTCTGGAGCACAAAGTACACAGTTTGAACATAGTAAGTGAGTGATTTAGAAATGCTACTTTGTTTGCAACTTCAATGTCCCATCATTACAAGCTTTAAAGGGAAACTATAATGCTGGGAAAACAAAGTTGTTTTCCCAGCACTATAGATACCTATGCCCCCCTCACACACCCAGAGTATGAGGACGTCCAACGTCAGTTAGGCAACAAAATGTCGACTAACCACCCGAAAGTCCCTCTAGTGGATAGAACCCTGCAAGGGAATTATTGCAGTTTCCCAATAACTGCAATAATTATAATTGCAGGGTTAAGGGGACTATGACAGTGCACCCAGACCACATTAATGAGCTTAAGTGGTCTAGGTGCCTATAGTGTCCCTTTCAAGTCCAGATGGCCATGTGCAAGCAAAATTGTATCACCTCTATACTCTCTTATGCCAACATGTTAGCTTGCACATTGTAGCCGTACAAACTGGTGTCAAAGCCTGCCCAAAGTCTAGACAGGCACTCTGTATGTGGTATGATTTAATAAGCAGGCATACATGGTACAAATGAGGATTAGAGTTGTTAACGCTACAGATTTTCACTTGGGGCCTTTATCAGACTGAAAAAAAATAAAAATAGATAAACACTGTTTTCCTCCTATTTATCTTGAAAAAGGAAAGTAAAGACCTAACTGTGAATCAGTTTGCAAAAAACAGCTACTAGTTATCATGCTGTCTCAGTGAAACGCGCAGGGGGTTGCGTGTCCAGCAATACATTTAATATGTTATGAAGTAGTAATATAACACCACAAAGAATTTATATCATTAGATACTATAATGATACCCAGGGACATATCCTATCAGGGTAGAGAGATATTCCAAGTAAGAAATATAATATACTCTCAGCCCCACAAAATGTTTCCGTCTGCGTCATACAGAATGTGTTTTTCCTCTAAACATTTCTGCAATGCTTTGTGTTAGTTATGTTTGTTATATCACTTTCTACCCAACTGACTGTTTAAGGTTAAAACACAGACAATCAAAGTGTGAGCATAAACAGGCATTATAGATAACCTAGGTGGCACATACCGAGGTAAAACAAGGTGCAAGGGTAACATGTTTCTTGGCATGAAATGGTCAGAGTTCTGCCTCCAATTTTACCACATGACAGGAGGCTTCCTATTTGCATAACTCTCTTTACTGTAAATCTCCAGCAGCACAGAAACAGAACAACCAATCAAAAAAGAGTTAGTTATTACACAAAAGGCCTTGATAGCCCCACCTCCTCCTCTTTCTTTGCTGCTCCAGCCTTGGCACAGGTCAGAGTATTTTGTTTCTCCCTAGTTTTATTATTAATTAAATTTTTCTACTGGTTTTATGTATTTATCCTATACTTATTTCTGTTCCCTGGATTTCCCATAACCTGTCCCTGCTGTTACCCTATATATTTATATCTGTTTATAACTATCTGTTTGACTGGCCTCAGCCCTCTGTCATTTGGCTGTCATTTTGTGTAAGTGCTTTTACCTTCTTCCTTGGACCGCGGGCGTCGCGGCTGTCAGTGCCGCGGGTCCCTTGGGGGTCATTGCTGTCAAGGCTAGCAGGGAGACTGGGGCGCTTAGTTCGCAATATTTTGGCAGTCCCACGTTTAGCAGGGCTTGCTGTACCGTGAGATTCATGGCGGCCATTTTCTTGCTCTATTCCAGATCAGGAATCACCCAATCCGGATTTTAGGTGACCTGTTGGACTTGGATTCATACACATTCAACTTAGAGATCAACTAAAGGTACCTCATTAAAACTGGGTGGTTACTTTATCTGTCAGCTCACAATTGATGCAGGATTCGTAACAGTACTAAGGAAATTGGTGGCAGGTGGCTTCTTTCTGGAAACTGAGAGTATTTTATACTGCCTGAGTGCATTCACTATCACCCTTAACAGGGATATATATATATATATATATGCATACATATACTCTACCAAGAGTACACATATTAATGTGGGTGTCCTCTGGGTTTTCATGCACACCACCTGGGGTGACCCCCCAGCTATCCATCTCATTCCAATATTGTGCCAAATACTAACGTGGGTGTCCTCTGGTTGTCACGGCACACCACCTGGGGTGAGCCCTCAGCTTATTATATGCGGGTTCTTGTCAGGGTACCTGTTGGTGCTGAATCCAGGGAAGACATCCTCTCTGTTTAGGGGCTCCCTGCCCATAGCATTTCGGCATATTCCGGCCGTTTTCGCGCCGGCCGCGCTAGCTCCTCCCCCTTTTATGACGCGACGGCTAGCGTCGACGTCATGACGTCGGCATTTGCATAAAGTGCCGGGAACCGCTATTCCGGACCTTTTGGGGGCGTGGTCTCTATTTAGGTAACAGGGTATTTAAAGGAAACCTTTACTACTGCTCATTGCCCTGTCGTGGTTCTAGCTTGCTAGTCACTCAGCGCGTTCTTTATCTTGTGTTTCCGGTTTTGACCCTTGCTTGTCTTTTGTCCTGTTGTCCTCTCCTCTCCTTTGACTCGGCTTGTATCTCGCTTACCTGTCCTCCGGCTCCCTCGACCTCGGCTTACCTTTTGACTATTCTTGCTTTGTCCCTACGTTAGTCCGGCCATTCTAAGGTCCGGTATACGTACCTCCTTCTGTCCGCACTCTGCGTATTGGATCCCTGTCAGTATCCTGACAGTTCTTCTGCGGCAGACCTTTAATGGGCCAAGTTTCCCATATGGTACTGATATACCTCTGCTTATTACGTGCACTGCATATTGATCATCTCTAAACAAGGTACAGCTCCGTGTACAACTGTGGTGAATCCAGTGAAAAGGCGAGTTGTTGGGTCACCCGCTCCTACAAGACATTCAGGTCTCAGCTACCTCTCAAGGGTACCCCCCCTGATTATCAGGAAAGAGAGAGCCCTCCCACATTATTTATACATGTACGGGTAATTTGGGGCCACTATACCCTGGGCGAGCCCCAGTTGTACCAGGAGACTGGCACCCCTATGTGCTTGCCCTTCCACCATTGCCCCCGCGGACTGTCACTGTCTCGCACACAGAACCAGATCATGGAAAATGCACCGCAATTGACCCAGGACTTCCAAGCTATGATTAATGCCACGATGGCGGCCTCGGTGAAGAAAGCTCTGCTGCGAGTTCTGTCCACAATCCCCTGGAAGACGCAGGCCCACCAGACCTGGCGGAGGCCTCGGGATCGGAAATGTCAAAGTCCAAGCGCCATTGGAAGGTATCAAGTCTTCCGACCTCTAGTATCAAGGGCAAAGCTCCTGTCAAACGACCTAAGCGAGCGGAACCACGGTAACCCATTCCCCCACCGCCTCCTTCCTCCGACAAGGAGGACTATAGTCCACTGAGTAACCTTAACATTGTGTACGAGTGGCACGAAGACGGCTCACTCTCAGAAGACAAAGACTGGCAAGACTTACCCCAATCTTCCTCAAAATATGTTAAGGAACCCGTACTCGGTAAACCTAGGGTGACCGAGGATGGTATCTTCATGGACAAACATCTTCAACCCTCGTACAATTCGCCACCCTCGATCATCAGAGGGGAGCCTCCCCGACCACCTGGCTAGATTCGAACATTATTGGCTATGCAAGCCCCCAAAAAAAGAGGAATTGATTTTGGGATCCTTCGCCATACGCAGCTTGGGCAAAGACATTTCGAACTGCTGCATCCTGCTCCGCATGGACAATGTCTCGGTGGTGCAATACATCAACCACCTGGGAGGGGCCAGATGCCAGGCTCTCACGGAGGCCACGAAGGACATATACAGATTCTGCATCTCTCGCAATATTACACTTCAAGCAGAGTACCTGCCAGGTATTACCAACCTGACAGCAGACTGGTTCTCACGGCATTGGCGGGACAACAGCGACTGGAAGCTCAATGTCTCAATCTTCCAGGACTTAAATCATCTGAAGAACCTATTACACCTGGACCTATTTGCTTCACAGAGCAATCACCAACTTCCGAAATACTACAGCTGGCTCCCAAATCAGTTTTTTCAAGAGGACCCCAGATTGTGTGTGGCTATGGCGCTGGTGCACTATACCGAAATCACCGCTCCCCTCCGAACCTCTTCGGCAGGTCAGCTTTTGATTTCATATGTTAACCACCACTGCACTCGCGCTCCTGGCCTAGGCCCTGTGCCCCCACCCCGCATCCCCCCCGGGGGCTCTGAAGGGGGGGAAAGGGAGCCACAGGGAGAGCGCTTCTCCTCTCCTCCTCCTCCTCCCCGCATGACTGCAGCGCAGCAAAGCTGCGCGCGCATTCAACCGGTCTCATAGGAAAGCATTTACAATGCTTTCCTATGGACGCTGCGTGCTCTCACTGTGAAAATCACAATGAGAAGCACGCAAGCGCCTCTAGTGGCTGTCAATGAGACAGCCACTAGAGGATTAGGGGGAAGGCTTACCCATTCATAAACATAGCAGTTTCTCTGAAACTGCTATGTTTATGAAAAAATGGGTTAACCCGAGCTGGACCTGGCACCCAGACCACTTCATTAAGCTGAAGTGGTCTGGGTGCCTAGAGTGG